TAAAACTGTAAAAAGATTATTTAAAAATACTTTTTTGTGTTACAGAGCCTAGCCTACTGAAATTGGAGTTTATTGCCTTCCTTTACTTTTAATGTTAAAAACGACATTGCTATAACTTTGAAAGTGATAAATTACTTGTTCTACGAATAACACTTTTCAATGTCAAGAAATCGTCCTTTATTGTCATTATGCATAGGGCAAATTGTGCTTCAACCTAGTTGGTAGAGAAAACAGTATTCAGTAACTTATCCTGAAATCGGCTTTTAATTTAAACGTGTTTAATTTTGTAAAGTAAAAATAACATGTAGGCCTACTTGGCTATGTAACAAGTTGGCTATAGTAGGCTTGTTCTTGCAAGGACTAAACAGATATATTCATAATAATTGAACTTGGAACTTGTGTTCGTCTTATAGCCTCAGTCCTATACAAGTACAAGAGTTGTTAGCAGGAGCAAACTATGCTATTTTTTCAATGTATGTTTCATGTTATATGGAGGGAGATTTTTTCATTACAATTATCATGTAGTCTAGGCATATCTTAAATCTCATCAGGTAATTTCCTCTTTGTTAATTTAGTAAACCTTTGAAAAATCCTCGTAATCTAATCTAACCAAGGAAGGACTTGAGATGATAAACCACAATCAACAGCTGAAGCAAAGGTTGATAGACCAGCTTTCTAATTATTTCAAGGTGTGTTGGTTTCCATTAAACCCCAAGTTGAAACATTATCGATATAATAAAGAAACTAAATTGATTACTAATTCCCCTGTCCTGTCAATCACTTGCAAGCATTCAATAGCTTCTCTTGTCACCGGTACCCGGTACCGTTTAAACGTCGTCTGCATCTAACGATTTTATTTTATCTGACAGTAATCATAGAGTAGTAAATTAAGGAAATGAGAGCCAAAAATGTGGATAACACTCATTTAATGGCCTCTATGTCCACACAACGTTGTGTTGTAATAGGGAATGAAACGGCTGCAACCAGCTGTTTGAAGCCAATAAAGTAGGCCTATTTTGTTTTTATCTCAGTTTAAAAGAGGTTGTTTCACGTAAGGTTGAGGTTATGATAAAAATCACTATCTCAAACAAGTTAATGTAGCGAGAAAAGTAGCTAAAATTCCGCTACAACTACTTTAAAAATGTAGCTAGCTACAGCTAAAGCTACAAAATCTTAAAAGTAGCGTAGCTACAGCTAACGCTACAAAAAAAGTAGCGCGCTACTGTAGCGTCGCTACTTGTAGCGCGCTACTTCCCAACACTGGGTACTGTATATCCGTTACAGTGTAAGTTTGAGTTTTCCTTCGTCACGTCGTGTCAGTTCATATCGTACTTCTGTGCCTATGAATCACACACAAAATTTGCCTATGCACATTTCTCTAGCAATGTTTTGAGAAATTGGTTGTGGGGTTACTGTTAAAGCGGGAATTCCTTGACATGGGAGATGTCAGTTAGTTGTCTCAGCCTTATCAATTACATAACGTTGTCAATATAATCTCTCTACAGAATGTTAGGTGTAGTGGAATATACTTGAAGTAAAGTTGGATTTTATTCTTGAACTGTTAGGGGCCTCCTCAATTATATGGTCGTGCGGCTTCATTGGCAACAAATAATGCAAATGATATGATACAGAAGAAAATCAATTTTAAAATCAGAAAATAACATTGAAAATACTTCTTTTGGACAATTCTAACTCCCAATAAATGTGTGTTGTTTAAAATACAATATTAAAATTAACAGCTGTTTCATTAAAAATTATCCACATGGCCAAAATGTAAACAAATCTGTGGATGGGTCTTTAAAGGCTTCTGGGACAGAGCCCTAAGCGAATTTACTTCGTTTTTCTTTTGATAACTCATCTACAGACCAAGACCTTTCTTTGGACCCCTCTACCAAGTTTCTACGCCCAGCCGTTCTCTCAAATTAGTGGAGACAAAGTTTCCAATTAAATATTTAGATTCCCCCATGTTAATCTTATGGGAGAAAACCCAACTTTGATGGAAGATCCTGCCCAAACAAATAAAGATATCAAAAATCTAAAAACACTTTGCAAAACTACAGATTAGGGCCATTTGTTTGACACTTTAATCATCAAAATCGGTCCAAAAATGAGGGAGGAGTTCTGTTTACAAAAATCGGCTTAGCGTATTATATATATAGATTTGTAAATGTATGTCTCTTATTTCCACAAATTGTAAAATAAAAATGTTTTTGTGAGGAAAGATTTTATAGACTGTTTAGAAAAGACTTTGGCTTTACAAAAAATCCCGACCATCCATGGCAACAAATATCTACCAAAAAGAGTTTTATTTCCTGCTGAAAGTGAATCTTCTTATATGAAAGTTGATTGTGCATTCCGATAAAGACTTTTGGTACTTACAAATATTTGCTCACCGTATCGACATATCGTGGAATAACGCATTGCTGCCACGTTGAAAATAATTAAACTGAAAACCAGCAAGACAATAATGTCACTAAAAAATTTTAGTTATGGGATTTTTGAATCGCTAACCAAAGAAAGGAGTAAAAGACAAGTTCTAAAAGACAAGGATTTACTTCTTCTCACACCAGCTGCTCTGATGTATGTTGAAGATGTACGCTTTGATGGTGTTATGGACACTACCCTTTCATTGTATACATCAAGAGGTCGATGCAGATTTTGCAAAAATAAAAAATCGTCGATAGAGTGTTCAAAGTGCAATGCGAGGCTGTAACTGAAAGAAAATAGCAATTGTTTTGTGGGGTTTCACCAAAAGTAGATGACGTTTCTTGATGGACATACTCTAATGAAATTTAAAAAGATTTTCCTGATGGGCATGACTAATGAAATATCAATAAATTATATAATAATGTATTTTCTATTGTAATCACATAGTTTTGTAGAAAATTTACACGTGTATACATTTTAGTTCCTTTTTTATCATGACGTTTATACCATTTTATATTGGATTGATAACTTTTGTGGAGAAATTGATTTTTTTATTTCTTACATATAATTATAGTTATACAATTTTGATATCCAATATGTGATAATGTCGACTTATTCAAACCCTAAAGTTTATTTTTAAGTGCTATACAGATAAACTTGTTGTATTTAATTCAACATGAGATTCCTAGAGAAATCTCCGCATCTTTGGCAAAGTGCCAAAAATGGCACACATGAAAAAATTGTGAAAAATACATATAAGAATTTTAAAATTATTTTTTTGTAGTTCCTTTGGACCCTTTTGATTGAAATATTTCAAGGAAAAAGTAGTTTTCAAAAAAAGATTTGTTTGCCAAATTAAGGGTTAAAGGAAATAAAATACAACACATATTAATTAATTATTTTGATAAACATTAGAAAGGTTATGGGATTGATTGAACTAAAATAACCGCAGGGAAACTTATAAGTAGAAAAGTCGTCAACCACTATCTGTTTAATCAGTACATTGTTAGAGAGAGAGAGAGAAAGAGAGATAGCAGATAGGGACGTTTGATAATAAGGAATCTGAAAAAGTAAACAAACAAGGAACAACGACACGACGATACTCGTTTACAGCTTATTGTCTCGCCCACTACATTTGCACACGTGACCACTTTTTGTTTCTTCCTTATCTTTCATCCGTCCCAAAATAGAATTCCTGAAATAGTTTGTTGGTATAATCTCCCCTCCCACACAAGGCGCAGTGCTCAGTGCGCACTGTAGGTTGCCACGGCAACCGTGTGTCGTCATAGCTACTTAGCCAATCACGCACTCGCACTGCGTTGTATATTACGATACGAATAGTTGTGTTAGAAAGACAACGCGATAGGTGGTAGTTTCCTCAAAATTACGATCGATAATCATTGCGTCTTGACTGAGAGCTGAGGTTCGTGCTTATCAAGACACAATTATGAAACGGAGGAGAGTAAATTTAAATGAAAGTTAGTTCCTTATTTATTAATTTAATTTTTATTTGCTAGTTCAATAAGTATTCGGCTCGAACATTTCGAGCTTTTTGAAAATCACGAGCCGAGCCGAATAGCGTCCTATTCGGCTCGAAAAAGCTCGATGTTCGAATACTCGCACACCCCTAGTTTTAATCAACTAAAACTGTACTACAACAAGTATCCTAACATTTTGTGTTTTGACTGAATGTAAACAAAGATTAAATCATATGTTTTACAATACAATAGTTTTGAACAAATTAAACAAGGAACAGAAGGAAGGCAAAATATTATCACAGGTATAAAAACGTTTATGAAACACAAATTAGTAGGACAGGTAAATACGGGACTAGTATTTACTAGACTAGTAATTACTAGACTAGTATCTTTATGAAACAGGGCCCAGCTGAGGTATTTTTAACATTATGTAAATGGAAAGTTCCCTTTGGAAAGCAATTACGACCTTATAGGGTCAATTTATGAAGTAATGGATAGTTTGGCGCAAGGTTTCTCGTTATGACGAACATTTGAAGTATATGGTTTATGGGGGTGTGACTTGTAGAATTTTAGAACTTGTAAAATTTTAAAATGTGAATTTTTGGAATTTTCTCGGTGGTTTGGACCCAAGACCTACAATCGTACCAAATTTCTATCTCCTCTGGAAGTGTATCGTTCGTGAGTCAGTTACATACTTTGCGAGTGTATAGTATTTAGACATGCGGCTGTATATTTGATTAGATTTAGGAGGAGCATTTGGCTTGGTTTTGGGGGGGGGGCATGCGCCATTGCTCTTGGGGGGGCTCGGCGCCCCTGCTAGTGTTTTTGGTTTAGCCGGCTATTTGTGTATGACATATATGCAATCGCACAAATCTCTTTCTCCTTGGATGAACACAATTTATTGCTGTTTTCCATTATTATTTAATAGTGTAATGCTAATAATGTGTCATCTTAAAACTTATTTACTTATTAGTATCAACTTCTGATGGTTCGGATTTAGTTTTGAAAAGGTTACAGTGTTGAGGAGACCAAACGTAAGGCTGAACATCATAACTCAAAATCCAGTATTTTCTAAGTCATATTACTCTATCTTACCCAAGGGCAAGGCGATGATGTTGGGGAGTGGACGGCTGAGATAAAACATGAAGTGGTACTGTGAGGCAGTGATGACTATAAACCATCTGGCCAGCTCCGGTCCAAACATATGTTGAACAGTAAGTCTAAACTTTCGCAGACTCATTATCACACAAGTGCCCAATACTGCTCTAACTGCAACAATTGTAAGAAATTTATCATTGAACAGGCAACATTATTACTCATATAATGTTAAACTAATAAAAAAACTGTAAAGTGTAATAACTTTGAAAATTGTGTTTTAGCGAATTTCCCTATAAAGTAGCTATTACCGTAGGTCTCATGGTAAGACCTAGGCCCGGGACCGATTTAGTGTTTCATTTTGATGTCCCCGAGGCCAAAAAAAACTATTCGTTAAAATTTTTACAAATGTATGTATATATATCTATATATAGATTTGTGTGTGTGTCCGTCCGGACAACTTTTCTAGCTTGAGTCATTTTTGTACGATTTTGATGAAATTTGGTTTGGAGTGTAAGGCGGGATAAACTTGAATAAGTTTGCGAACCAGCATGATCGGACCATGGGAACGTTGTTTAGCGGGTTTTATGGGGTAAAAATGGGTTTTTCTCAATTTTTGCCCTTGAACCAAAAAATGTATCAACTTTTCTTCACACCTTTTTAAAGAGCTTAAAAAAACAAATAATTTAGCATATCAAAATGTTTTTGTATGGTTATTGGTTACAGAGAAAATTTAAAAAATTGTTCAATTAAAATTCCCATGCTATTCTTATGGAGAATGTTGTAAAATGTTGTAGTCGTTGGCTTGTTTATGGATATATTTTGATTAAACTTAATCAAAAACACACTTTAATAGTTTACCTGTAGCAGCAAACCTAGGTACTTTTTAAACATAATGTTATCTATATATTAATGGTTGCCATTTAATTTAAAAGTATCTATCTATCTATCTATATATTAATAGGCAAGCATGTTTCTTTAAAACCTTTTTTCTCATCTCGTGTGCATCACAGAGAAAATCTACGCATACTGTTAGAAATATATTTTCCTGTAGATATGCAGAATCCCTTTAAAATTAAAATAGGCTCAAATATAAGCACAAAAAATGAATTTGAAATGTAATAACAATTAACATGGGCTTTATGGGTTACCATGCTGGTGACGAAATAACAACGAAATATAAACAGAAAATCAAAACAAATGTAAGAAATTACAATCATATGTTTTATTTACAGTGAGGGGTGAAAATAGAGAAGCCTGTACCTTTGACTTACAACTAGACATTCCATCCCCATGTTGAAGTTGTCGCCAGTTTTTAAATTAAATTCGTCGTAGTTGATGTGAGCCACCAACAGATTGTGATGATCTGTAAATGCTAATCCATATCAGATTCGCCTATTGGGTCTGACGATGATTGGGTCCAATCGAAATCGATCACCACTTACCATCTTTTTTGTATATTTACCTTGAGAGTAACAGTATAAGTGTAAATATATGTTTTAAGTGTTATAAGACGTTTCTTTTATTTACTTTCCGTAACTAATACAACCCAGCAAACTAACAACATGTTTGATTAATACAAAGTTTTCATACCCAAATATTGTGTTGTAAACTTGTTGAGGCCAAGAGAACTGATAACGGAATAAATAGGTAAAGAAAGAACTGATATTGCCAAAGGTCCAATAAATGTGCGAGGAACAACGCCTGGGAATTCATGATGGTCATACTGAAACAATCATTAACCAAATAATTTTTTTTTGTAAATTACTCTAGACAACAAAGCTATAAATAGTACTATACACAATTCAATCATTTCTGTACCGGTATCTGACAAGAAGAATCTTTGTTCTTTGAAGTGTCAAAAATAAATAAGAAAATCACTTTACTTTTTTTACTATTTAAAGGGATGAATCTAATAGGATCAGTTCAAAATGAACAGAAACAAGCAAAACTACATTTCTTGAAACCATCACACTCTAGTGTAACCATTGGGTTTCGTGTTCTTTTTTTCATTGTTAATATAAATAATAAAAAAATTACTTTTCGTAATATTTATGATCCAAAATGTACACCTTTTATGCAGCCATATAATTGACAAAAGCCTGTATGTTTGTATAAGGGGGGTAATAGCACTCATGTATATTTTTACAGCAACAAAGAAAAGTACTGTAGAATAATTACCAATTCCCACCATCTTTAGCTTCGTAGGCCAATTTAAAATGGAACAAACACATTTGAACAGTTGTGAATCAGTAAGCCCTGGAATGTCTAATTCGTACCAAAGAAAACCTTTGTAATCTTGCACTAAACACATGCAAACATTGACAAAATTCATCAATGTTAGTCAAGGATTTCTTATAAGATAAAACACTCACAAAATTTTCACAGCTTAATGGGAAATTGTGGTGTTGGGTTGCTTTTTTTTGTCTTAGGCCCGATTTCACCAAACACTTAAACCGCCGTTAAACCATGCTCTAACTGCAGTTAACTCTTAACTGACGAAATCAGATTTCACCACCCGCCGTTAGAGCTAGTTTAGACTAAACCGTCATTAGAAGATTAACTGCCCAATTTTGACCGGTTAACTTCTTTAATCCTTAGTTAATTAAATATCAGCTGGCTTTAAGTTTAAAGTTTATATGGAAATGCGAAATGGTAGAAGAGAATACGGTACGAATTAGCTTTTGAAAGTAAGTGATGGCAATGAAGAGTAGCCTATGTTGTTCGCCGAACTAGGTGGATGAGAGAAAGGGTTAATGATTTTAATAACAAAGATGAAATTAATTTTATTATTAGATATGAACTATCAAAACGTTTAGCATTTAGGAAATGAATACAAGGCTATCCCACATAGTGCATTTAGGTTATCCCACAAGGTTTTTTGTTAAGGCGTATATCTGTGATCAGCGACCGCATTGAACTGATTGGCGATCAAGAGCCGTACTATTTTATCTCGGCTAAAAAGAGTGTCCCGGCTCTTCTACCAATATTATCAACTTTATTATTTTATTGTTCAAAAAATAGGCTCCCTTTTCCTTCTCCCGGCTTTGGGTAACCCTAACCCAACGTTCAAACAATTGTTTTGCGTTCGGTCAGACGTAAGTAAAGCAAAATCTAAACCTAAATTGTCATTATTCTGCTAGTATTTTATAGAAAATAATTATTTTGGTGTTATCTTTATTGTGTCTCGTTCTTGTAATTCTTTTGTCTCCAGTTTTTTTTTTTCACTACTTCAAATGTACCAAACCGGTTAGTGAACAAACAGAATATTGAACATCCCTGTAAAAAGTTGGATTTTGAGTCTTGACTCGACCGCAAAACTCAACCAATTTGTTCCTCGAATATGTTTGATCAACATTGCTTTGCCTTTATTTGGTTAATTGTTAATTGTTTTGGTATTTATTCTTCCTTTCTGTTGTTATTTTGCTCAGAATCTATTGTATTCCTGTAAGCTTGCTATCTCCAGTTTTGTTTTCACTACCTCATAAACACTGATTTATTTTCTAGGTTATGTTTACTTGCTCCCGTAACAGCCCGGTATTATGACAGTTCACTGCCACCGCCACCTGGATTTTACTCTAAACTCTCGTTTATAAAACCAGTGTTAGTTTTGTCGCGTTTTCGTTGGTGAAACCAGATTTCCTTAACTGTGGTTTAAATCATCGGTTAGTTTTAACCGAAGCGGTATCTAACCGAATTTGGTGAAATCGGGCCTTAGTTGAGTAGGCTATATTAACCATTTTAGGAGTAAGCCTTCTTGTTCAAAATATCAAGAATAAAATGTACGGAGAAACCTTCTAGCCACTTCTATTAATTACTACATACATTTCAAAAATTTAACAGACAACATAGGACTACTTTGAACAGAAAACAGAAAAAAACCAAAAAGTCCAATTGTTTTTTGCCACATTATGCGGTAAGCAGATGGTTTCCGGTCTCTCGGTAGAGAAAATAGTTATTTGTGTAACTAGTGGGCAAAGTGGCACTTTGCTGCACACGAGAGCAATGTTTACGCAGGAGCCGCAGGCGAGTGCAGAATGACCTCGAGTGCAGCAAAGGCCTTTTGCACTCGTGTTACACATTATATTTTTCCTACAGTCACTATAAAGCATATAAATAATTAGTCTTTCAAACACTATACAACACGTTTTTAGGTTCAGCTGGCAACACAAATGGTGCTCTAGAGAAAGTAGTACCCGCGGTCCGTATCACTCCGCTATTTTTCCTCGGCAAGAAATGTGTTCCGCGTTTTGAGAATATAGTTCCGTATGTTTTTGTAATTTGAAAGGGTTTCCACGCCTAAAAAAATGCTTTAAAGGTATTTTCTTGTTTATTAAGATCGTAGGAATGTTTTAAAAACGTTTAAAAGAAAAGTCCAGAAAGTTCAGAAATACCGAAACTATAAACACAAAATGACAGGTTAAATCGTAGTTATAATAGTCAATCAGCTGCTCATAGTATTATTATCTTTAAGTGTTGCCAACCTATTTCCAAGCGTACACGGATTACGTGCATAATAGAACCACACTGTTTTGTGTTGTTTCGTTGGAATCCTGATGTGCAGCAAAGTATAAACCATACGACAAAGTATAAACCGTACGGCAAAGTATAAATATGCAGCAATTAGCAGCTTTCTGTACTATAAACAGTACAAGGAAGCCAACTTTGTCGGGTGACTGTAGGAAAAAGTCATTGTTTACAAAAAGCCTTTGTACACAAATTTTAAAATCAGCTGAGACTTGATAAATTTACTAAGTACTCTTACAGTGCAAAGAGGCTTGGTTATAACTTTTGTTCAGTAGGTTCTCAACAAAGATACCATAAAGCCAAAAATATTAATAACAATCCAGACTGCATTTAACAATAAAAATTGGAAAAGCGTAATATACTAATTACCTATAGTAGAATCCTACAACAAATCTTTTACTTGTACAAAAAATCACTTACTTCCGAAAGATTGAATTTGTGATAAAGAATATCATGCATTGCTTGCAAATTGAAACTCTCCTCTACTTTGGTAAAAGGGCAGTAAACTAAATGTACTGCTGCTACAATAAAAAGTAACTGCTCCATCCCAACCTGAAAATATTAAGATCTTTATTATCACATTGTAATTTTTTGCTACATTTGACAAGCAGAGGTCACAAAAAAAACTTTCTTTCAGTTTTGTACGTGTCACTTTAAATACTTTACCTGCAAAATCTAATTTTTTTTTCAATTTGGCTTTCTCTGAGTCAAAGCCTTACAATCTGAAATTGAGTACCTATCATAGATAGTTCCATAAACCAATTTATGTCTATCCTAACCTATAAACAATCCAGTAAGAACAAACATGAAGAAAGATCTGTTGTTATTAAGAATTTTTCTTTTAATTCGTCTTTGTGTATTGGATTCTTTGTATTCTTGGGAAGATAGAGAGACATTAAGTAAATTCCCTAGTAGGAACTGTATGATGATGGCAATTAACTTTAATCAACAGTCAATGCATTATGACATTAATAGTTTAGAAAGGATTTCGTATGGAAAACACAAACGAATTTGGAAACTAATTCATAAAAGTAAATACAGAAATGTTAATTACACATTTGCAATACTAATGACTTTAATACTCCTTTGTGGGGATGTTGAATCAAATCCCGGACCATGGCAAGAACCTAATTCTGGTTGTTCAACAGTTAGAGGGGCAAGATCTGACATTCCAAGCACGTCCACCGGTTTATATCAGACAACGATGGGCAGAGACAAGACATACATGAGACCTTGTTTTAAGTGGCAAGGTGACGACAGCAGTTTTTTTAGTGAGTCACGGTGCCCTGATGAAGGTGTGCTTTTATCAGAAGTGCATGTGACACCAGAATTTACAGATGCTACGTCAGAAATTTCACAATTATCTGCCGAACCTTCTCCTTTGTCTCTGTTTGACACAGATAGATACGATTTTTGTCCCAATTGTAAAAAGAAATATACTAAAAGAGCCTTTAAAATTCATAGTAAAAATTGTAAAGGCAATGTTACATCTGAAGATTATTTACCAAATACTGACAATCCATACTATGATAATAATGCACTTAAAATTAAAAAGAATAAGAGAAGCTGTTTCATCAACATACCCATTCCACCTAAAACACCTTGTCCTCTGAAAAATTCTGAAACATTGTATCAACCAAAGCTTTTACAGTTGGATAACTTGAATGAATGTAAAATTTTAGTAGAATCTTTCAACATAAGTAATTCTATAGAAGAACATCAAATTACCTCAGATTGCAAGTCTCGTTGGGAAAAAATCATACATCTTAATAGATTACAATACGACCTACCATGTGGCTCTATAGGTGACGGATTTGTGAAAATGTTAGGGGAAGAAATTTTACTTTTAGCTAATGGTCAAGAATGTTCCGAGCGATTCATATGTTTCATTGCTGTTATATTACAAAAAGAAAAGATGGTGAGACAGGCGAAAGATATTAGAAAATTTATTGAAAGAAGACTTGATAAGTGTACTAATAGATGTTATGACGAATTAATAGATGAAGCGATTCGATGTAATAGGTCCCTAAAATCAAAGGGTAAAGCCGAATACAATGATAATGAAGAGTTCATTAAAACTAAATTCAATAGATTAGTTCAAAGAGGAAAAATAAAAGAAGCATCTCGGATTATTAGTCAAGACAATAAAGGAGGCATATTAAGTCCTGATACTATAATAGATGGTGATAGACGCACAGTATTTGATGTATTGAAAGAAAAACATCCAAATGGCACAATGCCTGATCCGGAATTGCTAAAACTACCCAGCCATGTAAAAGAAATGCCTAGATTGGAGTCAGTTGAGATTACAGCTGAACATGTAGAAAAAGTTGCAAGAAAATTGAATGAGAGTGGTGGGCCTGGCGGGAGTACTTCTGAACAATGGACAGATTTTTTACTAAGGCATGGTAGAAAAAGTGCTTTTTTAAGAGCGTCAATTGCTGAATTAGCAATGAAGTTAAATGAAGAAATCATACCTTGGTCAAAAATACAAGCACTTATGGCTAATCGTTTGGTTGCAATCGACAAATGCCCTGGTGTTAGACCGGTCGGTATCGGAGAAGTGCTCCGCCGTATCTTAGCAAAATGCATAATTTTTGCAGCTGGTGATGAAGTTATTGACATATGTGGCACTGATCAACTCTGTGTAGGATTAAAAGCAGGAATAGAAGGCGCAATACTTTTTATGAGAGACCAATATGAAGAAAAATGTCAAACTGAAGAAGACAGCTGTATGATAATGGTTGATGCTAACAATGCCTTCAACAAGATAAACAGAGTACATGCGTTATGGCACGCAAGAATTAGATGGCCAAGGGCTGCACGTTTTATTTTCTACACATACCAGAGTGAGGCGGCACTAATTATGCCAGGAAGTAAAAAACTACTGTATAGCAGGGAAGGCGTTATAGAATTACACTAAATGATATTCAAAATACAAAAGAACCATTTTATTTAATTCTTAAACACATCAATGTAAACAGAATATTTACCAACAAACTTAATAATAATAAATCAGCTGATGAATTAATCACTTACAGATTTAACTATCTAACACTTTTCCCCCCCTTCTTTTTAGGCAGATTCTACAGCTCCCATTCTTTGTCTCATCTGGTCGGCATGCTTTCTTTTTATAACACCTCCACAAAGTACATCATATGAATACAATCCATTTCTATTTTTCACCATTCCAGCTGACCAACCATTTCCATGTTCATTCTTAATCCACACATCTTCTCCTTCTTCAAAAGTTCGAACTTTCTTGTTGTCTCTCCCTTGTTCTTTCCAAAGTTTCATTTCCATCTTTTTCCTAAGATTAGGTTTCATATTGTCAAAAATTGTTGGTAGTCTACGACCGAGAAACAATTCTGTCGGAGCCCTACCAGTTGTTTTCTGAGGCGAGTTTCGGTAGCTAAAAAGAACATTTTGAAGAGCTAGCATTCCATCTCCGACCTCCTGCTTTGTTGTGTAGTACCGTCTTTTCAATGTACGAATTAGTCTTTCAACAAGTCCATTACTTTTAGGATGGTACGGAGTTGTTTTTATGTGGTTGATAGAATTTTTCTGGAAGAATGTTTCAATCTCCTTTGACACAAATTGAGGTCCGTTGTCTGTCACGATTTCACTTGGTAATCCATATCGACTAAACCAAGATCTTAATCGTTGAATGATTGTATAAGAGTTTGTTGTCTTAAGACAGTCCACTTCTGCCCACTTAGACAACGCATCAATACCTACCAACCACATAGATCCGTTGACTGGCCCTGCCAGATCAATGTGTACCCTTTCCCAAACTCTATCAGGTACATTCCAAGAATATAATGGTACTTCTTCCACATTATCTCTATTCTCTTGACAAGATGTACACTTCTTGATATAAACTTGGCCCACGGAATAGCTGTAGTAGCAGGATTTACCTCTTCAATGATATCCTCATTGACAAGTCTTGCAAGTTCACTCTCAATTCGTTTTTTCAAGGGAAATGGAACTCTGCGCGCAGAAAAATGTTGGGGGTTTGCATCTTCTTGAACATGAATTTGTGCTTTATAACCCTTGATTTTCCCATGTCCTTCAGAGAATACATATTCAAAGTCTTTTAGTACTTCCTTAACCCTCACATCATCCATCTTTTGTTGTTTTAGATTTTGCTTACATCTCACTTTATACTAATAGTTACATCAGGAGGGAGTTCCATATTAAAAGCTAATATCCATGGTAAACCAAATAATGGTTTCTCATTTCCATTTACTACTGCTACTTTTAATCTACGTGTCTCATTACCTACTGAAACATTGACATAACATTCACCAAGTATATCTAAAATATTGTTTCCATATGCCACATATTTTGAATTAGTCTTGTCAAGTCGTGGTGAACCAATCTTCTCCCAAAGAGGCTTACCTATCATTGAGGCCCAAGCTCCTGAGTCAAATTCCATGTTTGTAGCTACCTTATTTAACTTTAAATAAATACGTGCTTTACAAAAATGTCTTCTTTCCTTTTTAACATCGTTTATCCTCATGTCATGAGAGTCTGCTTCAGATTCTTCATCTTCTGATTTTTCATGCAAATTATTCACTCGTTTTTGCCGACATACCTTTGCAAAATGTCCTATTTTTTTACAATTCAAACACTTTTTTTGGTAGGCTGGGCATTTGCGAAATTCATGTTTTGTTCCACATCTACTACATGGATGATTTGTCTTTTCGTTATATTCCACTTCTCTCTTAGATCCCTTATTGTTTCTTCTTACTTGCGATACTTCCAACTCTTTATCGTTATTCTTGAATATCTCATGACGAGCTCTTTCCATTGAAGTGGCCAGTTCAAAAATATCTTCAGATGTTAACTTGTCACCATTTTCTTTTACACCATCAGGCCATCGTTGTCTAATTTCTACTTCAAACTCTGGAAAATTTATACCTCCTGCAAATCTGTCTCTTATTCTTTCATCAAACTTATTCTCATACTTGCAAAATTCTGCTAAATTTTTCAAACGTATTACAAATTCTGAAAGGTTTTCACTATCTTCTCTGATGCATTTTTCAAACTCCATTCTAGCCAGTGCCGGATTTAGGGTACTTGAGGCCCTAGGCCAAATTACTTGAGCGGCCCTCCCCCTCCACCTGTGGTGGAAATTCTTTGCAATCGCGGAAATAATCGTGAATATCTCTTATGCATCAAGGGGACATCATCATTGACACCCGTGATCGTGGATGAAATCGTGGACATCTCTCCTAAATCAAGTCAAAGCCATCATAGGTATCCGAGAGCACGGCAAAATCATGAACATCCCCCACGGGCTGCAACAAAGGGACATTATCACCGTCACCCGCGACCACAGTAAAATCGTGAACATCTCCCGCGGGCCGCAATCACGGGGACATCATCATCGACACCCACGGCCGGGGCGAAATCGTTAACATCTCCCGTGGGCCGCAATCACAGGGACATCATCATCAACACCCACGGCCGTGGCAAAATCGTTAACATCTCCCGTGGGCCGCAATCACGGAAACATTATTATGGTCACCTGTGATCGCGGCAAACTA